CTAACAATCTTTACCAAAGAGATTTGATGTTAAAGTTGTTTGAATGGTTAATAGACTAGGTCTTAATGATTGTTTAGATAACATTCAACCTAAGAGATTAGATGTTTGAGTTATCTTTGCAAATGAACATTTGTCTAGGGATAGAATTTGTTTAGGAATGTGTCTAGACCTAAGGATGATAGATTGAATGAAAAGCTTATACCTTTAGATTGAACTTAATTCCCCCAAGATCAGTTCCCTTATCCCATGAGTTCTACCTTCTCATTTTGAAAGAAAGCTTGATCTTTATTGCTTATTTAGTATTCTCTTACTTTAAAAACCATCCTTATATTGATAGCACTTAGATTAAGCTTTGTCTTGTAGTCTCATTGGTTTATAATTGCTTAGAATTGGTTCGATATCTTTTATACTTTGACATTTGAATAGGAATCTAAAAACTCCTATTATCAGTAGCTAACCGAGTAGCTCTAGAAACATGTGTACAAACTCATTATGAGGGACGTGATCTTGCAGTCGAGGGTAATGAAATTATCCGTGAGGCTTACAAATGGAATCTTAAACTAGCTACTTCTTGTGAAGTATGGAAATCAGATTATCTTCCAACCTTCAATAAATTAGATGGCCAAGACTAGAAATTAGATTAGTAATTCACGTCAAAAATAAATGTTCAATATAACTTATTCGGCACAAAAAAAATGAATGAAATAAATATATGGAATCAATGGTTCCAACATTATCAAAACGAACTATCAAAGATTACAAATTTAATAACTTGATTATGTCGCAAGAACACGTATACAAATTATACAATCCAAAAACTTTTCATTAAGAAATCTCAAAGTAGTCTATAATATGTTTCACTCCGTACAACTTTTATCTTCGGTGTAGTCCTCTAGAACATTTTCAATGTGTGTTCTGCTTTTTGTTTCTATGGCCTAACCAAGCCAAGTATCATTGTATACGAGAAACTCTCAACAGCACAACTACAAGGGACCATATCAAGTAATCAAGTACCCAAGGAAAAAAGATAAACATATTAGTCTTCTTCTTTATAATCTAACACTTGTTCTGTACAAAACCTCCTAATACTTTGGAGGCTAATATGTAATTTTCAACAGTCTTTTACTACTTCTCTAACCAAATGATTTTAAACTTATGCAGAGTCTCAAACCCCCAAACTACATTACCTTTTTTTTCTTTTCTTTCTAGAAATAGAGAATATTAAGAAGAAAAGAAATAGAAATGCACAAAGATTACATTCTACAAGCTATTGCTCTCAACCGGTTGAACAAGTAGGCCTCCTCCTCCTCTGTCATCGTTTGTCATCTTTTTCAGGGATCTGTATTGCAGCCGAACACTGTCTCCGCTCTCTACAATCTTCAATAGATACCTAATATCAGGAAAACAAATGAGTTTGGGAACTGAACTCAAAAACTCTCTCTAACGTATAAAGTATAGTTTTGCTTCAGCTCATAGTAAGTCCAGTTACCAGCCATTGAGACATTGAGATGTAACGATTGCTTCTTTTCCAACAAACTTTTCCGGTGTTCTCCGGTTTCCCTGCAAATGATGAAACGTGTTTCATAGCACTATGAACAAAGGTATATGCTGGAAGAAATGTATCAGAAGTAAAGATATGAACAACAATGACCTACCTTGATAAGTACTTTCTCGTTTACAGCAAATGGATAATGCACCACTCGCTGCTGCAATCCATCATCGGTAGCTGGATCTCCATTTTCCTGCAGGTATAAATTTGGGACCGAATTTTATCAGAGGTCCATCAAGTGTATAAGATAGTAAACAAAAAACAGAGAATATCGCAGGCTGATAAATTTGAAGATGGTAATATTTAACCGGAAAACATCAAATACATACAAAGCAAATAACAATATTAGAACAGTGTCAGATCATCTTACCACATCCATTTGATCACTCATTTCTTTTCTACGCCTACGCATGGCTGCGTTGTGGAAAAGTCTCTTATCATCCTGTTGCTTTATAGCTGAAGCGGCAGCTCTAAGAGCTAGGTGTTTGACATAAAGAGAAGAGTTAAAACTGTTTGTATATGTAAAATGGCAAAAGACTACACTGTTGGCTAATATAGTTTTTGAGTAACATGGATAATAAGAGAGTGAAGCTTTAATGGAATTACCATGGTTAGGAACAAGAGACCCGGTCTCGATTTCTGCATTGCAAAGCGTACATCTAGACTGTGCAGAAGATAAATGTGGTTATGAAAATCTTGAGTATGTAGAGGAACCATCACATGAAACTAGCATACTAAAAGAATCAAAGGAAACAAAAACCAACCATTTCAAGGACTCTTCTAAGCATGAGGCCACCAAATGAATGTCCACAAGAGACCACAATTGCATCTTCAAGAAACGCACCGCTAAACATCCAAGAGGTTGCAAACAGAAGAATTAGAACCCTGATTTCAATGCTTAGGTCCTTGATCATACTAACGTAAATAAACATTCATCTAACGTCTTAACGAACCATAAGAATACATGAAAGAAAATGAGTACTCACGAAATTGGATCCGAGAGAACACTTCTTAAGGAGGGCTCTTTGCAAACATCATCTCGTGAAACCTGACATCCACAATTCAGAAGAAGATCTCTTGACATAAGATTAAGACTTTGTGCTCTGAGCAATTAGCATCAAACATAGAAACTTACTATCATTATACTATTGAGGTACTGCCAACCATAAGACCAAATGAAAGGAGATCATTAAGAAAATGTACAGTATGCTAACCAAACGTAGAAACTTAGATCATTATACGTGGGTACTATAGGCATCGATATTCACAGATATCAAAATTTTGCATGTTAATGTATTTTACGATCTAGACAATTAACTCTACTATTGCAAGAAAGGATGAGCTTACATTGATTTTCACAGGCGGACTAACTGGAGTCTCATTCTCGGCCAAGAGATTATCCATAAACTGACTGACAGATACTGGCACATAGCTTTGTGGAATTACATGGCCAGCTGCTTCTACTGGGGAACAATCTAATATAGCATTACTTTTCGGCATAAGCCTAAATGCTAGAGATGCCCTGCAAGTGAATAAGTTCGGCAATTTAATTCAACATGTAAACAGGCAATCGTGTCTTGTTAAATTATATTTTATAAACATACCTTCCGCGAGTGTCACTGCCAGAGAAATGATCAGTAGTAGCTCTATAAGAGGCAGCTGGACGCAGACCTGCAGTAGCATGACTAAGCGCTTTGCCAGTAATGAGTAAGATATCACCAATCCCACATCCATTATCTGCTGCGTACCACCGACCATTTGGGTCACATACCTAAGAATCGAAGAAATTTCAGAAAGTACTTTACATAAATAAAGATGTATTTTGAAGCAAACAAACTGTTCATGTCAGATTCATATGAAAGTATTCTTGAGAAAATATTCTGTTGTTGAAGCTCCTAGAATGAAGACAAATAAGTATAGAAATGTGACCTGAATGCCAGTGCCATCTGAGCAGAAGAGTGTCAACAAACCCTTCTCAATTTCAATGTTACTGGATAGACTCCCACCTCCAGAACCAAGTTTCCCATTTTGGATCGACGCATGAGCATAAGAAGCCAATAGCACAGACGAGGAAACTTCATTTGGTGCTAGCGGAAAGTCATCAAGCATATGGTTAAACACACTGCAAAAACATATCCCCATTGTCTTACTCAATACCAAAAAAACAAAAGAGGTGATACTGTAATAGAAACAAAAACCAGAGAGATTAAAAGCATATAATAACACCATCCTACTCGCTTCTTAAACGTAGATGCCTTGCTATTGCAGACAAAGCAGCTCTTGCTGTTTTCCCCAAACACCTGAAAACCTCAGCCATACATGGCGGCGACGAATCTAAATCTTCCACAGATCTATTCAACCAAACACTCATTTATTAGTCATTACACAACCAGTGACTACTCAAGGAACAATCTAAGAGCTAACCTTCCAGCTCTATACATAGAGAGACCACGATTGCCTTTACCAGAAACGTTAACGCTTCGTGTTCTAAAATACAACCGAGCAGCTTCAAGACCACATCGCATAAGCGCAGTGTCTTCACTCCCTAGCTCAATCACTGACGCGTTATATCTCATCAGAGAAACAGACAAAGCCTCCACGGCTTTGGCATAGGACTGAGAAGGAGCTCCTTCGTAAGGAAGGATGTCTGATAACCTAACCCTAGCGAGAGGACACGCGGACATCATCAGAAGAGAGTCTTCTCCTGTCGGGTAAGAAGCAGAGATCGGTGTCACTGTGATGGGATGAGACTTGTTCAAGCGGGGAGATACATCGGGGATAAAGGTTGAAGGTGTGATCGGAGACGAGACCTGACGGTAATCGACCATACGTCGTCGTTTCGGAGACGGATTGGGTTTTTTTACTGTACGGAAGGGTTTAGTTTTTTTTTTAAGCGATGACTTGTTTGATGAAGAAATTGAGACGAGGAATCGTTGTCGTTGGGTGCATCGCCGGTGATTGAGTGGAGATTGAAGCCGGGAACGTTGGATTCGCCGGAGAAATGCTGTTTTGTTTTTTTGTTTCTTGTTGTGTTGTGTAATGTTTGAGAGACGGTGAAGGTAATAAAAAGCGCAGGGGCTTAGTTGTACTTTCAGTTATACTTTACGGTCAAACTTTAACTCCAAAGATTTACTAGTAGTCGTACATCATTCATTCCATTTGGATTTTTATTTTTATTTTAAAGAATTTCAGCCAAAATGTTAAATTAATTTTTGATTTATCACTGAAAATACTTATCACATCTATACATAAGTTGTATCATTTGTATGATTTGTAAGAAATTGCAAATTGATGTGAATATGTTTGTTATTGATCAGATTTTGATCATGATCTAAATTTCAAATTTTAAACCATGATCTAATAGTAACATTTTGTTAGTAATTAGCTAGTTAGCATTAACGTGTTGACAATATAGTTAACAAATTAAATCCCTTAATGAGGGAGATGATGATAATGATGTTTTACTTGTTAGTGGTTGCGGTGATGAGACGAGAGAGGATGTATGCTTTTTGATGATGAAGTTAAGAAGCATACGAGTCATAATGTGTAACGTGATGTGACAACATCATCAATAATAGTAATTATGATCCTCTTATGATAATGATGATAAATCTTTTTTCCTCTGTTTTTGTGAGATCAAATAAATGATGATGTAGGACGTGGAGAGGGTGGATGAGTTGTGATGATGATGATGAAAGTTCATAAAGATTTGTGTCTACTTAAGCTATACACACATGTATACATATAATATAATTCGAGACATCAAATATAGCACAATGAAAATGAATTGATGACTATGTATAGGCAAAGAAGCTTTTGCTTTGTTTGGTTTAGGGTTTTGTAAACCGGTCGGTTTTTGCTACTTGTAAATCCATTCGTTTGCTCGTCCACCTGTTGAATCCATGTCTATGAAAATGCTCACAGCCTGCATGATGAGAAATAAATCAGTAGAGATTCAATCACACAAAAATGCGGTTTATAAGTACACGATCAAATGATTCAGAGTGGTCTCTCCTATAGACTGAAGTGATTTAACTAATATATTTGTCTACAATTTTAAGCTAACCTTCCCTATCCTAGGTCGCTCTTTGGACTTTGCTAGGCTGTTACGGATATGTGAGACGGCTCCCCAGCATTTCAACATGTTGGCTACATCGTCAAGTCTCAGTATATATTCCTCTTCGGTTAGAGGAAAAGATCTCTACGCATTGCAGACGAAGAGGTTAGAAAGAGAAGAAAAAAGAATGGTGAATTAGCTTACAAGTATCACTTTATACAATGTGGCAAAGATTCTCGAACCAAATAACAATTTATATGGAAACGAAACATCATAGTTATTATCATACCATGAGGCTTCTTTTATGATCAAAACATAAGCAAAAATGATGATTCTGTTTTACCTGTTCTCTGTACTTCCACATGACATTCATTGCAAGAAGATTCCTCCCCATGAACTCCTACATAAATCACATCTTAGAATATGATTTATTTTTCATGGCTTCTACATCAAATTAAAAGAAGAGGACTGAAGATCTCACTTTCTTCTTGACGTTCAAAGCATTTTGAAAAGTTCATAAGACATGACATTCATCACAAACACTCTTGAGTTGAGAAAGGGCATACCTTCTTGATGAGCTGAACATCATAAGATCTTCCATACTTCTGCCTTATGAGAGTTGCAAGATCTAAGCCGTTAAATGCAGAATCATCCGAACCAACCATTCTCTCAAGATTTGCCCGATTCATATCATTAGCTTCCTAAATACAAACAAAAGATGTTTAAAAAGGATCAGATGAATATCAAGCAACCAATTATTTTTTTCACAAAGGCATGCTTATTACTATAATGTGTATTTAAGCATTGGCAGAGTCTAGGACATCAAACTAACTCTAGAAATCAAATTAATTACCCAATTTTTCCCAGGTTCAAGCAGAAACTATCGACTTTCTATTACCTTCCCATAATAATCGCAACAACCAGGCAAAATTTAAACTCTTTCACTTGACTATTAAGCAGATTGGAGTGTATAAGCACACGGAAACAATGTCTCAGTCACATCACTTGAACACTTAAATTCCAAGTCATGACTTTCAGTGATAATCATCACCCAAGAGGACAACGTAAAATGGCCGGGACTAACAATGCTTACAGATCTATATACCCTTTTGGTTTTATAGTGATAGCAGACCATGGTTAGAATGTTTAGGATATAAGAGTTTCTATTGATTAATGAAAAAAGAACCTCCAAGAATTAACTTTAATTTTCAAGAGAGACTAGTATTAAAAGAGGCAGCTTATTCTAAATTCTTTATCTCTATCATGAACAAAGTTTCATATCATATATGTATACCCTTTTGGTTTGATCATCAAGTGATTCCTTTTCGTCATCATCTGAATTATTTGGATTCATGCCGTCATCCACAACACTGCAAATTCTTGAAACCTTTCTCCTACCAGTTTGCTCCTTACAAGAACTCTTCAAGCAGAGGCTATGAGAGAAAGCCAATCTTCCAGAGAAACACGGACTAGAGTAAGAAACCTTAGAAAGTGTTCCTATACCACATCGTTCGTGTGTAAACGATGGTTGACAATGATGGTGACTTGAAACTATGCTCATCATCTCCTGTTAAGCAGCAAAAACGCCAAGCCATACAGTGAGTGATGCATAAACTAAGCAGAGAAACCTAACATGATCAACCTGACTCGTTTTATCTCTTGAGAGATTCATCACAAAACTGAGAGATCAGTAAGCTTACCGGCGGCAGAACTGAGGAAGAGCACGACGGTGATGCGGAGGAGGAGATGAGGAGAAGGAGAAATAAGAGATAAAAAACCAGTGAATGAGCGGTGAAGGAGGAGCCACAAAAAAATATATATGAAATTCTAAAACAAAGCAAAATTCCCTAATAAATATAATTTTCGGCCATCTTATAATATTTGTTTTAAAATTATAAAAAAGCTAAACGTCTAAAATTTAAATTCTCTGACTAAAAATATGAAGACAAAAATGATGACTGTTATAAAAATATATTTTATAAATGTTGAAGATAATAATTGTTAGAAAAAGAAGATAGTAATTGTTATAAATTTCTTGGGACATGTTGTTGCTGGAAAATTAAAAATAAATGAATAAACAACAGTAGTTTTTTTGGTTTAAAATAACAGTTGCTATATTCTATAAACTTCAAAATATCAATACTAATAAAAAAAGTTTATATGTTGTTCCAAAATAATAAGCAAGATTATATGACAATTAACCTTTAAGTTCATTATAAAAAACGTACTCCAAGTTTCGTTTACTTGCACGTTTCCGCGGAAAGTTTTGACGTCTCCACCCTACACCTTGACACATGATACATCACGTTGGCCTTTGCTTCTCTCATTATCTGATTTCCTTTTTGTCTTATACAGATAGGAAAGCCAAAACAAAATGTAAAAAGAACACCGATACATTTATAAACCTGCGTCTTCGAGCTAAAACATCTGTGATATATACTTAAAGTTTTTTTCTGATAAATTACCAAAATGTTTCGAGTAAGTTACAACAACTAATGACCTGCAAGATAGTTATCGTCACCCAATTTCAGCCAAAAAAAAAGATAGTTATCGTCTTTAATTTGAACTAACGAAACTTGCCCACACTTAACTTGTCATGTGGAGTTGCATGATCACGAGACGTGACGTAAACTTTTTTTTGTTCGAAACAAATTCACGAACGTGTTTTTGGTTATGATAAATAAGCATATCGACGGCAGGGAACGTAAACTTCTTCTGTATAAGATTTGTAATGTATCAATTCGATACGACCAGTTATTTTAAAAAAAAAAAAACAAATAACCGGAATGGTTTTTATTTCAAATTGAGGCTAACTTAGTCTCATAGATTATAAGATGAATATTGCATTGATTAAGAATGTAAATCAATTTTCAACCTCAATCTTAATCATTATTTTTTGGAACAACTCATACCTTTTTACTGGAACACTACCTAGTGAAATTTTGATGAACTCATACTAAGCATATGACCTCCGTTTCGATTTAATTGTGTTCTAGGGAAGAAACAAAATTATTTCAGAATAAGGGTTGTTTTATAGTTTTCATGCAAAATTTATTAAATTTTTTTCTAATTTATACGTAATTGTATTTTTTTTTTTGCAAATATACATGAAACGGAGGGAGTAGATAAAACAAAATAAACATATAAGGTTATTTTAGAAATAAACAAAAACTAGAGGATGATCCTTGTAAATTAGAAGAAATCTACGTATTTTCAAAATTCAAAGCACTATTTGCCTTTGGATTCCTGAATAATCCCCTTTCGATACCAAATCCATCATCCCCACACAACAATCAATCTTCCTCTTCATTTCATCACCCTCCCCGGAAAAATCCCAATTCGAAAACCCTAGCTTACAATCATGCCCATGGACAAGGACACCGACCTCCCCACCAACCTCGCCGTCTCCGCCGAGCAACCGACCAAGATTAACGACGCCGATGCACGGTTACCGGAGAATCTTCAAACCGGCGTCGTATCAGATCCCGGAAGCGAGAAAGTAGAGGAAGGCGCGGAGACGACAGTGGCGGTGGATGTTGATGAGAGCGGATCGAATTCAGTTCCCCGATCTTCTTCCGGTAGAGTTCCCTTCACTAATCTCAGCCAAATCGATTCAGATCTTGCTCTCGCTCGCACGCTCCAAGAACAGGTGTGTGTCTCTCTCTCGCTCTCTCTCTGTGTGTTGTTTACTTGTTAGGGCGTTCGAATTTGTTGAATTGTTTGTTGTTGATTCAGGAGCGGGCGTATATGATGCTGACGATGAACAGTGAGGTCAGTGAGTATGGGAGCTGGGAGACTGGGAGCTATGTATACGAGGAGGATGAGTTTGATGACCCCGAGGATGAGGAAGACGATGAATATGAAACTGATGATGATCCTCAGGCCGAAGTGAATGCCGATGGAGACGAAGGTCAAGGAGATGACGGCGCGGAGGAAGTTGGATATTCAGATGATGAGGCTTTTGCTAGAGCTATTCAGGAAGCTGAGGCAAGGGAAATGGCTGATAGGTTGTCTGCCTTGACTGAGTTTGCAAATCGTGAGTTCACTTGTTGTGGTTACTTCTCTTTGATGGGGGGTTTTTCTAGAATTGGTTTGAGATTATGCTAAGTACAGTAAAACGTCTATAAATTAATAATATTACTACACCAAAACTATAATTTTTTATTAATTTATCAATATACTAATTGAATCAAAAACATAGAATATTAATTTAAAGAGTTATACGGTACTGTTATTATTGGTTGCAGGGGTTGAAGTTCTAGAGGATGATGATCATACTTCTGAGGTAGGTTTCTTTACACTACTACATATGAACCTTTTTGCCTCTGTATGTGAAAGGAACTACTGTTAAGTCTATTTTTTGTTTAGTCGTGGCCAAAGGAAAAAGTTGTGCACATGAAACCTGCTATAGTCGAAGTAATACATCATACATGATTCTGTCCTGGCGTTAGTTTTTTTATTGTTTTCGTGATAGTTTAGTCTGGTGTTAGCCTTTTAGTCCATAGGTTTAGTTAGATACTCTTCCCTTTGTATTTAAGGTACTTATTGTTTGGAGTTGAGCCAGTTAGTCTAATTTTATGCCATGTAATCATTTGATTGTCTTACTCTATGAAATTGTTTGGGACTTTGGTACTAGGTCGTGTCTAATTAGTTACAGTTTATGTTATTACAACTAGATTCTGACCCGCCCTTCAGGTATAATTTTTGTTTTCCTTTTTTGAGAAATATAATTTTTATATTTATGTTAGTTTTTGTAATTATATTTGTTTGAAGTATAATTTTTGGTAACTATATTAAATATGCCAAGTTTGCATATTATATTTTCTTATTAGTTGCATAACATAATTAGTCAAGAATATTTTGTACTCAAAAATCCGACTCAAAATTGACGCGAAAATCAAAATATCATAATCTATTAGTCCTGACCTATGTATATTTGAAAACGAATGTCAAATCCAACGCGCACCAAAATCAAATAATTTTTTAAAAAGTTTTCGATAATTGTTTTATTTTTTTAATATATGATGTTAATATGTTCTTCACTAACTTTAAGTAAATGATTAACTGTTTTATAAATGATTTACACAAAATATCATACACAAAATAATGATCTATTTATTATTCATGTATTATTCATTTACATTAATAACACTAAGTCTTTAATGCAAATGATCAACTTCAATCACAATTTTGGTATAATAGAGTAATATTATAGTTAACAATCTACATTTGTTAAAAACCCAGGAAAAAAGAATAACTATTACACAACTTTATGTTTGAAGGTCAAAATGCATTAATGGTAATCAAATCAATTGTATTCTGGTAGCGTTTAGTGGTCACTGGTCTCGGAGAAAGTTATGTCCACACCTGCAGCATAAGACCTCGCTGTGGACTGAATTTAGATAGTCTGGTCTATTTTGTGGAAAAGGAACTTTTTTTTTTTTTTGGAACTATGGAAGAGGAACTAAATACTATAATTGTAGGGTAGATAATCATATAAAGTAAGGCTTCTTTTAGGTGATGATATGATTCAGCTTCCACTCACGTTATGTATACTTTATTCTTTTCAGGATGCCTGGGATGAGATGGATCCTGATGAGCTTTCATACGAGGTATGAAATCATTCTTACGTGCTATGCATTTTGGATCCTCTTATGATTTATTGTTAACGTGAATACTATTGTTTAAAACTGTTGGACTCTAGTGTTAACAACTTAACATCCGTTATGCATTTCGTTGTTCAATATTTAGATACCCAACACGTCTGCTGGCTTATAAATTTACACTATCCAATGTTTGCAGGAGTTGCTTGCGCTTGGCGACATTGTGGGAACCGAAAGTAGAGGGTTGTCTGCTGATACAATTGCATCTTTACCTTCAAAAAGATATAAAGATGGAGAAAATCAGAACGGAACCAATGAGTCGTAATACCCTTTTTGTAACTAATTAAGTAAACCATTGGCAATTCATGCATTTATCCTGATAATTAACTTTTCTATGCTTAATGCAGGTGTGTTATATGTCGTTTAGACTATGAGGATGACGATGACTTGATACTGCTTCCATGCAAACATTCTTACCACTCAGAGTGCATAAATAACTGGTTGAAGATAAACAAGGTACGTCTTTAAAAAAAAAGATCATGTTAGAGAAAGGTGAAATCATTCAGTTTGTAGTCAGCTATGCATGCAAAACCTGACAAACACAATTAGGAGCACTGTTTGACTGTCTTTCTCTACTGAAACACACTCTTTTTGATAAACTATATTCATGCTATTAAACCGCAACAGCAACTGATAATTCCACAACAAGAATCCGTGTATAGCCGGAAAGGTTGAAACTTTGTGGTCCGTAGAAATGTAGAACATACAGACTGTAATCTCATGTTCTGTTGAGTATATGGATTGCATTTGAACTTGTTAATATCGTACTAAGACTACCTACAGTATGTGATCACCTCATCAACTTCCATTGGAACTTCGAACAGTTATTTATTCGCAGTTAGACAAGCAGTTGTAGAAATTGAATTATTCTCTGCTCAACTGACACGAAGTTCTGCAGATTTGCCCTGTATGCAGCGCTGAAGTTTCAACTTCTTCAGCTGGACAAAGCTAAAGAGCAAAGGAAGAGATCAAGAAAAAGATCATAAGCTAAGAACTCCATTACCTTTGCTGTCTGTTTGTACACTATATAAACAAAACCATCATCAAATTTCTTTGGATCCTTAAAATAATCTGAATGTCATCTTCTTGCACTCTAGTATCGTCTTTCATCTGATTCCGTATTTGCGATGTCGGGATATTGGTAACAACTACGATTCTATCTGTTTTGTTAGCTAGAAATAATATCTAATATAACTTCGGTCTTCAGAGACTCGAGAGATTGATCAAAATGTTGAGGTCTGAATCTTTGACTAGATTGAAACTGGTCTTGTTACCTAAGATGAATGAGCTATTACGAGAAGCATCCATGTTTTGTTGTTGTTCTCTTTGGAACATGAACACAACGACTATAGTATTTGATCGCCTACATGACAAGCTGGCGAGTGGAGTGGCCCCAGCGTCGTATGCTGAGGGTGAGATTGGGCCACTCAGTGGTCGTGACCGAGAAATCCTGGAGCCAGTCTGTGAGCAAGATTTCTTGGTCTAATGCAGGCAATGTCGAGATATATTTTTCTATGGCTCGTTCGACCTCAACCTTCTCATAACCCGTCATATGTGATGGTTTGTAAAAAACCAACGGAAATACATGGGAGAATACTTGAACACATGTTTATTTAGACGAATTTGAAACATCTATAATACAAAACAAATATTCAAAAGCAAAGTTAACTTGACCATGTGATCGGAAACCCTATTTTGTCTTGTTCGTGGGTTTACTTACGTATATAAAATTTGCAGCAACGTCAAAACTAATTTCTCTTTGTGTTGAAATCAGTTGCTTTAGTTATACAATCAGCACTATATACATAAAAGTGAAAGATGTCACTACTGTGACTGCTAGGAGTTCAGTATAGCGTACATGACGGCAAGCAAACTGAAAAGGATCAGCTCTACCTTTAAGCCTATTTTTCACACTGTTTATGAAAAAGTTATTACACCATCGCATATTCAAACTGTTTATTAGTATTGCAGCATTAATACAAAATATGACGACAGATTGTGGAAATATGATGAAAATAATTTAACGCGACGACTTCTGACTTTCTAGTGTAAACTTTAGGAGCAGAGTGCAATCGAAGACAACGACAGTAGGACTATTTTTGACTAGTTTACAAAACAATTAATTTTTCAAAGAAAAAATTGTGACTGATAGTCAACATTTTGTTAACATATCGTAATCAATAGCTCCATTGGGCCAACCGTTTTTTTAATTACAATTGTCTGAATTATCCTCTGACACACAAATTTTATCTTTCAACAATTTGACGTACATATTTAAACTAAAGTTTGTCCCATTCGGTGGATAACATTAAAACGTTACAATTCGATGAGATCGACGACGGCATGTGAATGGAAAAGCTGTTCACGAGTAAATAGTGTTTTTTAACATTTCAAATGACCTCAAGTTTTGGATAGATATTTGACAGTTCCGTACCACTTTTGATTTTTTTTTTGAGAGATTTAGGCAAATACCCATAAAAGAAAGCTAAATTAGTGGTTTGCCTATGAGTTGACATTAAGACAACTTTTTGTACAATTTGTTTGGAATTGGACCAAATTGACATTCTCCAACTCTCAGAAGCTACTGTCTATATCTGACATATTCTCTCTCCAACGATTCTTCCTCTTTTGCCACATCTCTTTTTCTTTAAACTACACATACTTTTCATACATCTATTTTTCACATTCATTTCTTTCTTTTACACTATTTTCACATATTTTTGGACCAAATTGAAACTTCAACAATATAAATTTTCTTACTTATAATACATAACAATATATTGACATCTACGATTATTAACAGTTAACACATCTGTTTACACGTATAGTACATGTTTTTTAACAGCTAACACAAAAATTAACAGCTACAAAAATTGTTAACAGTTACTGCTTTCTGTTAACACATCTGTTAACATTTACAAAATTTGTTAACAGTTAATGTCTCTGTTAAAACATCCGATACATGTATTTGTTAACAGTTAACACTGTTGTTGACATCTACATTATTTGTTAACAACTAACATAAGTGTTAACATCTCGGCGATTTTAAAAAAAAAACTTCAATGTTGATTTATTCAGAATGTGGTGAAATTAAAATAATTTAGATTCATAAGAATAGTAATAAAATAGTAATAAATTTTTCGCAACAATTAATTTTTACAAAAAAAAAGAAGATATTAACATGATAAAAGAGTTTGAGAATGAGAAAGAAAGTAGAATCGAAGGAAAGAGAAAGAGAGGTTGTGGGGAGAGAGAGTATGTCAGGAGAGAGAGTGTATCAGGAGAGAGAATCACATGCATGTGAAAGGAAGGGCAATATGGTCCAAAAAAATAGATAAGTCTCATCAAAGACAATTGCCTAATATTGGATCTAAAAAGGATATAGGCGCAAATAATCTCTTTCTTTTTTTAAATAAGAAAGTGTTGTGAAGAATAATGAAATCTGTATCTTATTCATGCTTTAGAGGTTCCATATATATATGGGATACAAGAACAAGATAAATGGAAAACATCCAATTCCTAAAGTAACAAGGAATTGGAAATACATAGAAAAGGAAAAGGGACCAGTCGCCTAGACTATTGGGTCACACGACCATTGGGCTGGTCCTAATCTATCTAATGGTTATGGCCCATCCACTAAATACTTCATAACACTCCCCCTTGGATGCCATAACCGTATGAGCTTGTACCATGCTTAATGTTGCCTCGTTAAAACCTTATCTAGGAAAACCAAAAACCCAAGGTGGGAAAAATGGAAACCTCAGACAAGGAAAAAGAGTACAACACATGATACTCCCCCTGATGAATGCATCACTGAAAATGGCTCAGTGAACGCATCCCAATCTGGTACACGAACTTCTTGAATGTCTTGGTGGGTAAGGACTTGGTGAACATGTCGGCCAAGTTGTTGCTGGACTGGACTCGGACCACTTGGACTTCTTGGGCCTTCTGCAGGTCGTGGGTGAAAAAGAACTTGGGCAAGACATGCTTCGTTCTGTCTCCTTTGATGTAACCTTCCTTGAGCTGATGTATGCAGGCTGCATTGTCTTCATAGATAACTGTTGGCTCTTCCTTCCCAGTGCTCAAACCACTTCCCACTCGGATATGGTTGGTCATGTTCCTCAACCACACAAGTTCTGTACTAGCCTCGTACATGGCTATGATCTCAGCATGATTAGAAGATGTGGCTACAAGTGTCTGCTTCTTGGAACGCCAAGAGACTGCAGCACCACCGTACAAATAGATGTAGCCCGTTTGAGATCTAGCCTGGTGCGGATCAGACAAGTATCCGGCATCCGTGTACCCGACCAAACTCTCCTTTGGTCGATACGAGTAAAACAAACCAAGATCCTTGGTTCCTTGCAAATATCTCAACAAATGTTTCACACCATTCCAATGCCTTAAAGTCGGACAGGAGCTAAATCTAGCAAGTAGATTCACAGCAAAACTAATGTCTGGTCTAGTGTGGCTAGCCAGGTACATTACAGCTCCAATAGCACTAAGGTAAGGCACCTCCGGACCCAATACGGCCTCGTCCTTCTCCCTTGGTCGGAATGGATCTTTCTTTGGGTCTAAGGACCGTACGACCATAGGGCTGGACAATGGATAGGCATGGTCCATATTAAACTTCTTGAGTACCTTTTCTGTATAAGTTTTCTGATGCACAAGGATACCATCTTTTATGTACTCAAGCTGTAAACCCAAACAAAACTTGGTCTTACCAAGATCTTTCATCTCAAATTCTTTCTTTAAATACTCAACTGTTTGGGTAATCTCTCCAGGGGTTCCAAGTATGTTCAGGTCGTCCACATACACTGATATAATGACAAAACCTTTGTTGTCAAACTTCTTTATAAAAATACATGGGCATAATTGATCATTCTTATAGCCCTCTTTGACTAGGTACTCGGATAGCCTATTGTACCACATACGACCTGATTGCTTTAAACCATATAAAGCCTTATTTAATCTTATGCAATATTGTTCTCGAGAACACTTCTTATCTTTGAGCTCAATACCCTCTGGAACTTTCATATAAATCTCATTATCCAGTGGACCATAAAGATATGCAGTAACTACATCCATCAGGCGTAAATCCAAGCCTTCCTGTACGGCCAGACTGATCAAATATCTCAATGTAGTTGCATCCACCACAGGGGAATACGNCAAAGACCCACTTGTGTCCAACTGGTTTGACATCTACAGGTGTCTTAATAATAGGGCCAAAAACGCCTCTCTTTCTTAATGAATTCAACTCCACGTTTATAGCTTCTTTCCACTTGATCCAATCTGATCTTTGCATGCATTCATACATAGACGTGGGTTCTAGATCCTCTTGTGTTTCCATGATCTCAAGTGCTACACTATATGCAAATATGTCATCGAGCTCGATTTCTTTTCGATTCCATTTAGTTCCAGACATGACATAGTTTATTGAGATCTCATCATTGTCATAACCATGTGCACTATGAAGTTCAGCGTCCCGAACCACTTGTATAGGCAACATCGGCCTGTCTGGTCCACTAGGCCCGTCTGGCCCATTAGGCCCATACGGCATGCTTAGCCCGGGTTTACTCGGCACATGTGGCCCATCTGGCTCACACGGTGTGCTTGGTACGGATGGCTTACACGGCCCATACGGCTCTCCAGGATCACCTGGTGTGCAAGGCCCAATAGGCACATTTGGCCCAACTGGCCCAATTGGCACATCCGGCCTTATCGGCCCAACCGAACTAGTCGGTTCTGGCATTGCCGTATTGTGGACGGGTTCTTGCAAGCTCTCTGGTCCAGCACCTTTCATGGACTTCCGAGGCTGCTTATCTTTGGAACCAATAGGTCTACCACGTTTCAAACGTTGCTTAGACTCTGTAGCAACTTGGACCTGTCCAACAGGGACATCTAATCTGATAGGTGCATTGCAAGCCGGTACATGTGACTTGGTCACTCTATTTGGGTCAGCAAATGAATCTGGCAAATTATTAGCTAGCTCTTGTAAATGTACAATCTTTTGGACCTCAAGATCACAATCTTTTGTCCGAGGATCTTGCCAGGATATAGATGGTCTCGACCACTCTATTTCTTTGATCAACCGGCTGCTATCTCCCCCTAAGGACGGATATGTTGACTCATCAAAATGGGAGTCTGCGT